CCTTGCAGTGATGCTCAGTCCAGCCTGAAGGACCCTCCCACCTGCCTGAGACCCCTCTCCCCTCCCCCCCCCAGCCACCCCCCTCAGGGCTGCTTTTTCCAAGGGCAGGTGGATTTAAACGGTTTCTCTCTGAGACCCAGATTGGAAGCCCGAGGCTGATGGCTGTGCAGACAGTGACAGGGATTAGCATCCCGGACTCGGCTCTGGGTGCTGCTCCTGGCACCCCCAAAGCCCAGCCCAGTGCTCTAAGCTCAGTGCTCCTTGACGACCTTGCCCTGGTACCCAGACTTGCGGAACAGAAAGGAGACATGAGGGAGTGGGGAGCCCAGCTCCATGCATCGAATTACTAGGCTGCCCCTAAATGCTGCACCCCCGCCCTCCTGTCTTGCCAGACCTGCCCCCCTGGGCTTGCAGGTTTTGAGGGGGGGGTCCCTCAGGAGCCCCGGGAAAGGCTTCCAGCCGGTCCTTTGCTTTATTTCATCTTCAACACCGTCTGCATTAGAAGCCTCCCTCTTACCTGTTTTTACCAAGTCCAGTCTTTGTTGGTGCCCAGCCCTTGGAAAACAAGCGTGGAAAAAACAAAAATATAGTATAGGGGGAGCAATTGATTCCTGAGTCTCAGCCCAACGCGTGGAACCGTGCCGGGGAGACCAGGACGCCGAGGCTGGGGACCGAGCAGGGCCTGGCGGGCCCGAGCCCCACTGCCGTCCTCGCTAAGGTAGCGCTCGGCTTCTTTCAAATAGGAAATTGCCAAAATGGATGTCATCCTGCTAATTAGATGGAGTTTAACTGCAGGATCGTTTTACCAGCTAATATTGTTATTATGTGCCTCTCTGTGCGCCCGCGGTGTGGTCCTCACAGACAGCGAGGGAGCCTGCAGGGCTTGGGTGGGTGGGGGGGTATGCGTGTGGCGTTCGGAGGGGCGGGGAGGGCTGCCGGGCCGCCTCGGGGTCTGGGTTTAGGGGTGCCTGCTGCCGTGGGGGTTCTTGCCAAGCCGCTGGGCGCCCGTGTTCCTTTTTGCTCCGCACCTGTGTTGAGAGCAGAGCATCCAGACTCCCCAGAAACGCCCCCTCCTCCCTGAGGACCACCACGTCCCCGGGCACCAGCCCTCGCATCTCTGGAAGCCGCGGAGGGTGGCGTGTCTCCTGCGTACCCCGAACACACAGCACCGAGCGGGCGCGGGGCGGGGGGTGGGGGTGTGTTTCCAGCGCTAGCTGGATCCTCTCCATCTTCTCTCTCTAGCAAACCGGAAAAAGAGTCCCGATTTCCCGTCGGGGTGGGGGGGACCTGGGCCAGGGTGGGGGATAATGACTCTTAAATGGGAGTGCTCCATGTTCCCTCCCTCCCTCCCTCCCTCCCCGGCTCCCGGTGCCCCTACCCGCACCTCCGTCATACATAGCATTTTTTTATCCTCCTTAAGACAAAGTCGCTGGCAAAATATTTAAGCGATCCGCAAGAAATGTTTTTATTTGCCTGCGTGCGAATCGGGTTATCTGCCTATCTTGTTTATGAAATTTGGGGCTGTCTTTCCCCCAGTCTGTTCGCCTCTCAAATCTTTCCCGGCTGCATTTCCATATTTCTGCGTGCTTGTTCTTTGTTAATCACTTGGCAAACGCTTATTTGAATATTAAAAATTTCTTTAATCATCAAAGGCAGGAGCCCAGGCTCATGAATATTCATATTTGCCCCCCCTCCTCAGACTGGATTCTAGTTCATTACCCTGCAGTAAAAAGCCAAACAGCCATCAATCGCCCTCATTACTGTGCTGGCGTTTTGATTGGCTGACCGGCTGCTGCTGCTCAGAGCTTTTTTTTTTCTCCTTTAAAATTAAAAATAACCCCCCCCCCACCCCGTTTCTCCTATGACCTGCTGTGTACCTGCCTGACACCCACCTCCCCACCCAAAAAAAAAATCAACAATGCGAGAAAACATTTCTCTGGTTGAAAAACAACTTTGCAAACTTGACAGATAGTCCTGGGGCCGGCGGGTGAGCGGGCAGTCAGCGTGATCACCCCCCCCACACTCACCACCCCCCCATGACCCTCCCCCCAGTAGAGTCAATCCTGGAAAAAAAAGGGAGGGGAGAAGAAGGGGAAAAAAATGAAATAAATAAATAAGGAAGAAACTTGAGCCTCAGAGATGAATATTTGTCAAGAGAGTTGACGTAAGTTTCATTTGCATAATGACTTTGTACTTCTGCATTAATAAAATTTGCATATGAAGCCATGTTAATTACTCCTGATCATGCTTTTTGCATTCATGCATAGTAATTTTCTCCGACTTGTGAGAATTAATGTCTTGGCATGGGGGGAGGGGGGCGCAGGGATTGTCAGGTTTCCTTGCCAGTGGCCCTCACTCACCAGCCCTGGCCCCCCGTCTGGTCTGTCTCCCTCCTGGATCTATGACTCATTTTTGCAGGATCAGTAGGAGTTCTTGGCTTCAGAAACGTATCAATTGAAAGGCACGGGTAGGGAGAAAAATATACATCTCGGGGTGTGTGTGTGTGCCCTCTGCGGGCTGGCCTCGCACCCGGCCTGGGGGAGGGGCTGCCCGCGGAGCCCCTGCCTGCTCGGGGCGCTGGCACCGCCTGGCACGCCCTCCAGCCTTCTGTGTGTGTGTGTGTGTGTGTCTGCGGGCTCGTGGGTGTGGGCGTGTTCCTGAGCATCGCGCATGTGCAGAAGCAGCTGGCACATCTGCAGGGACCCTGTGGATGCGAGATGGGGTCCCCTGGGCGCCCCCCTGCTGTTTGGGCCAGCCGAGTGGGGGGCTTCGGGGACCCTCACTTTTATTAGCCTTTCTCCTGCTGCACCTTTTTGGACAGGATTTGACTCTGTGGACCCCTTTGGGGTGGCGGGGCATGAGCCATGAGTGATTTTAATTTTTAATTTTTTTTTGGGGGGGGTGGGGTTGTTCTAACAGCGGCCTGAAAGGAAGCTCGTTGGGTTTACGGGAGAGGTTAGATTTCGGCTTTCTTTCAACTTTCCCTCCTGGAGGAGGTAGACTTTGGGGTAAGAGGTCCAGAGCCAACCAGGGCCTTATTTTTCTAGCCCTTCATTTGGCCGCTGTGGGAAGCTGGGCTCTGTGTCTGGGCTTCCTCTGCGGCTCCTGGGGGCCTGCCTGTGCCCATCCAGTTCCCGAGCGTGGGGTTCTCCTCCCCATCCCCAGCTGCAGAAGGACGGTTCTGTGCTCTGTGTCGTGCCCGGCAGGCAGGGCCTTGTAAGGCTGGCAGCGTGCTCTGAGCCCACGGGGCCTTGTTCTGGGATGGAATCAGGGACAGCACTGGAACGGGCGAAGGGCTAACAGCAGCTGCTCCACTTGCAGGCCCCTGGCAGCACTCGCGGGGGAGTGGGTATCCTCCGAGCACTGCTGAGTGTGGCCCCAAGCAGGTGAGGGTCTTAAACAGGTACCCTCCCCTCTTCCAGGAAGCAGTGAGGAGAGGGGCTGGGCCCGGGCTTCTCAGAGGCTCCTTCTGCGTTTCCTGACTGGGTTTGACCTCTGGGAGGCGCCTGGCAGGGCTTGGTGACCTGCCCTATGGGAACTGGACCTGGTGCCCCACGTGGACAGGCCATGAGCCATCTCTCTGGCCACCCCCTTGGCTGGTGGCAACGCCGAGGCGGGGTGAGGCTGTGCCCAAGGTGGGGTGCCCTGCTTCCTTCTCCCTCCTGCCCAAGCTTCCCATGCCTCAGACACGTGCTGTGTGCGTGGCCCACCCCAGTGGCTTGTGCCTCAGTTTCCCCCATGCATGGGGGCTGGTTTTCCTGGCTGCACCAGGGGGCTGGTGGGAGCTGTGAACAGGCTCTCGGCTCGATGCTCCAGAACCTTCTATGTGCAAAAGGCCGCGCTGACACCGGGAGCCGACGGGGTCGCTGCTGTGACATGTCCAGGCTGGGACTGGTCAGAGCCTGTTTCCCGGCCAGCTGAGGCCACAGGGAACATGGAGCAGCAGGTTCAGCCCTGCCCAGTGACCAGTGCCAATGCCTGGGGCATTGCCCTACGGCTTGGCCTGCGAGTGGGGGCCTTGGGCAGGCCCCCCGGGGAGGAGTATCACTGGCCCATCACCCCTGGGATGGGATGGCAGCTTGGAAACTTCTGGTGCAGACTGGCCCTGGGGTCCTGGCTCACATAGTCTTGGGGGGCTCGGGGGTGCAGAGAGCCTGGAGGTCCTGGCAGGACCTAGAGGCTGTTTCCACATGCCGGGGGCCTGCCCTGCGTGCCGCGGGGTGGGGGGATTGGGGGCGCTCCACGCCGCCTGGATAGGATGGGGAGTCCCGCCCGGGGTCTGTGCAGTGGGCAGGCCTCCCCCCCTCCCCGGAGCTGCTGTTTTCTCTTTGTCTCTCCGAGGCCGCCCTCCCGTTCAATCACGCGCCCAGGGAATGCGGCTTCTTCACTTGTGGTTTTGGCAGAGGCTTCACTCACATGCTTTGCCCCGGTGGTCTCGGAGCCGTTGAAGATAAAGGCCAAATCAAACCCAGGCCGGGCCGCAGGGAGAGCCCGGGCGTGGGGCTGGGCTGCGGGCGAGGAAGGCTGTGGCCCCTGGCCACCTGGTGGGCTCTCCGCGCAGGCCAGAATGGCCAGGAGAGCTGCAAGCCAGAGCTTCTAGAAGGCTCCGGGCTCCCGTGCTGGAGGGAGCGCGACTCCAGGCCATGCCCTGGGCCCGGCTGCCTCGGACCTGGCAGTGACGGAGCGGGTGGCCGACTGCCCGCCCGGCTCCTGCAGATGGGGTGGCCGAACGGGGGATAGCGAAGCCTCCAAGGACTCCGGAGCACTTACCATGGGGCCCCGCCAGCCTCTGGGCGTGTGCCCAGCACTAGGCCGCCCTCCCACCCAGGGGCGGGAGCTGGCCTGGGACAGCACCAGCAGGGCCCCCTGGCCCCCCGGGTGCGCCCCTGGCCGTGCCCGCTGTCGGCCGCGTGGCCCCCGGGGACCCCCCAGCCCCCGCCTCTCCCGCCCGCCCGTGGCAGGGCACCACTGACCAGTCTTTTCTATTGTTTTCTCTGTAGGGCCGTGCAGGCCTGCACAGCTGCCCGCGATGACCCCCATAGCCGCCTCCTCCCACCCTCCCACCTCCGTCATCTCTTCTCCGCTGCGCGCCCTGGGCGCCCTGCAGCCCTGCTTCCCTCTGGCCTGCTGCGGCGCGCGGCCCGGCCTGGGGGACGGGCCTCAGGGTGAGGGTCAGACGGAGGCTCCCTTTGGATGTCAGTGTCAGTTGTCAGGTAACCAACGACGCCGGCCGCGTGGGGGGCGGGCTCGCGGGGGGCGCGCCGGGCAGGGCTGGGGCGTGTGGGGGACCCTCCCCCGCCCCCCACAAGGCATTGGGGTGGGGGGTGACAGCAAGGCGGTCCACGGCACGGCGCCCCTGGGCCCTGCCCCCTGGGCCCGCGGGTCCCCCCACCCCGGCCCTTCCCGTCCTGGGAGCGTCTCCCAGCAGGCCTTGCTTGAACCGGCCCCCGGCCCTGGCCCCGGCCCCAGCCCGTCTCGCTCTCTCTCCCCCCGGGGTCGTGGGGCTGCGGCTTAATTGGATAACGCTGAACATCTGAGGTGGTTTCTGCCCTCACCACCGCCTCCCCACCTCCCCACGGCCCACCCCCCTCAGCGCCCAGACTCTGCTAGAAGATTCCTTGGCTGTCTGTGTAGCTCGCCGAGCCGTCCCGAATGCCAAGCGTCTCTTTGAGGGGATGTGTTGTCCATTAAGAGGGAGCAAAAAAAAAAACAACAGTCGCTCGGCTTGGGGTGCCCTGTGGCCGCGCCCAGGGAGGAGGGAGAGCGGGGTGGGTGTGGGCAGGGAGGGCGGGCACCTGCCGTGGGGGTGCACGCCTTGCCCGGGGGCCAGTGTGGCCATCCCACAGAGGGGCAGGCAGGGGCCCGTGGACAGCCTGGCCCGTCCCTCCACTCCCTTCTCCCCCAGGGCACATGCTGGCGCCCGTCGGGGGGTCCCGCATTGGGACATGCCGGGTATAGCCACCAGAGTGGGCGCTGGGCCCTGGGGCATCCCTTGCGGGGTCTGGCGGGCTGGGCGGTGCCAGCACGGTGCAGCCTCTTCGGTACTTCGGGCCGTGGGAGGATGCTCAGTGGGACAGCGTGGAATGGTGGCCCTGGCGCCCCAGCTCTGCCGAGGGCAATGATCTCCTGGTGGCCCCCATGCTGGTGTCAGTGCCAGGTCCCCACGGGCCGGATAGGGGACACTCGGGCAGCCAGGTGTGGGGGGGCCGCACCGTCCAAGGTTGAGGTCAGTCTGAGTGTCCAAGACCAGCGCAGGCATGCCCGGCTGTGGGGGCCCCTCCGGCCAGCCCAGCGGGAGTGGCTCCCCCGTTTTGCACAGGGAGGTGAGGGCTGGGGTGGGGCCGGGAGCCCAGAGCTCTCCTCACTGCCCGTGCGTGGCCTCTCGCCTTCTCTCCTCCTGCACCCGACGAACCCTGGGCTGGCCACCAGCCCTCCCCAGGGGCCAGGCAGGCGCTGTGGCACCCCAGCCTGCGGGTAAGGAAAGGAGCCCAGAGGCCGAGCACCCCAGCTCACACGCACTCAGCAAGGCAGTCATTCATTCACTCACCCCCATAGAGTCAGTCATTCGTTCACACACCACTCACTTCTCCATATCTTCATTCATTCAGTCACCTACTCATTCATTCACGCATTTATTCGTTCCCTCACCCACTCATTCACTCATTCACTCACCCATTCAGTCATGCAACGGCTCATTTCATTCATTCATTCATTCATTCATTACTCTGTCCACTCACTCACTCACTCACTCCTGGACTCCTCTTTCCTCCAGAAGGCACCTACTTGGAAACAGTGTGGAAACCCAGAGGGGATCATGCCAGGGGCTCCCAGCTTGCAGGCAGGCTGGCATTAAGGGGGCACTGACCGGGCACGGACACGCAGAGTGGAGCAGGGCTGTGGCCTGTCACCCAGACCTCCTGGCACTGGCTCATCCCTTGGAGGTCAGAGTTCGCGGCTGGCCTGTCCTGTGTTTCCGCCGGCTCAGAGCGCAGGGCGCCTGCTTCCTGCTCGGTCCTTCCGTGTGTCTGCTCCCCTGGCACGGCTGCTGGCCGGGGCTGTCGCGTGCCTGGTTAATGAGGAGCTGGGCGGGTGTCAGCACCTGCCCCGGAGCGGGCAGGGAAGCGGGCCTCGCCGTCCCCGCTCGATCTCTCCCCCTTCGGATATGCATGTGCTGAACTGGCTCTTCAAATTAATAGGGAAAGCCCCAGTGTACGCGCACTTCACACAGGTTAATTGCATGCCCGTGAAGGCACTCACGGTTATTTATAGACGGATGTGATTTTAGGGGGAGCAAGCCACACAGGTGTGTGTGTGTGTGTGTGTGTGTGTGCGTGTGTGTGCGTGTGTGTGCACGTGCGCGTGCGCACAGATTGGGCTGCCAGCTCCTCCAACGGCGCACCTCCCCGGACGTGCCCCCCCCACCCTCCGATGGGGGAAGGGACTCAGGGGCCCCTTTAGACTTGACTGAAATGCGGGATGTCCCAGGTGCTCCTTCCTCAGCAGCCAGGGGCTGGACTGATGTCCTGGTCCCCTACTGAACCCCAGTATTTCCTGAGTCGGTGATTCTATGCTCCCTCCCCAGGGAGCATTGGAACGGGTGAGGTGGCAGCCTCGGGTGCATGTGGGGGGTCCTTCCTGGGTGTCCTCTTCGAAAAGATCGAATCCCAGGAGGTGCTGCGTGATCTCTTTTCTGAAAAGGGGGTGTGATAGGCCACGTAAGTTCGGGCATCTCTCAGCTACCTGGCCACCAAGCCTTTGGGACTCTTTCTCTGTCTCAGTTTCCTCATTCTGCAAACCGGCATTTGTCCGTGTGTGCTATGCGCACACGCCCACAAGGAGAAATGATCACTTTTATTTTTTAGATTAAAAAAAATAATTGTTTTGTTTTTGGGCTACACCCAGCGGTGCTCAGGACTTACTCCTGGCTTTGTGCTCAAGGATTACACCTGGTTCTGGGCTCAGGGCTCCCTCCTGGAGGGGATTAGGGGACCATAAGGGATGCGGGTTCTAACCTGTGCCAGCCACTTGCCAAGTAAGTGCCCTACCCGCTGGACCATCTCATCAGCTCCAAGATGTCGTATTTAATAGCAAGCCTCCTCTGTTTGTGTCTGAAATGAGTCTGACCATTTGTTTCAGTTGCTGAGTGGGGCCTGGCACGACCGGGGTCCCAGGCTGTGGCCGGGGGCCTCACAGTATTAGACCCACAGACTCTGGTGCCCCCTAGCCCCCCCTGACTCTGCTGCGAGAGTAAAGGAGCTGCTTGTCTCTGCCTCAGTTTCCCCACCTGCACCTGGGCGTTTGCTGTGGCTCATGGAAGGCTGGCTTAAATGAGCTACTGAGAATTGAACCCGGTACTGAGGAGTTCATGAGGGAGCAGAGAGAGTCTTTGGCCCTCCTTTGTGGTGCGGGGACCCTCCCCGCCCTTGAAGCTGGACCCCCGGTTTCTGTCCTGAGAGCCGCAGCCTCCTGCTGGCTCGGGCCCTGCCCTGAGGTGGGGAGCGGGGGAGGGAAGCGAAGGAATTCCGGGGAGCCGCCCATGGTCAGCCGCCCGCCGGGCCGGCGGGGGACGGGTCCATGCATGCACGGGGTGGGTGTTGGGGGGCGGTCTCCCCCAGAACTCCGCGTGCGGGGAGGTGCGAGTGTTTGGATTTAATCGAGGGAGTCGCCGCCATTAGCATCCGCTGGAATCACAGGGCAATCTTGTAAAGTTAAATTCAATTTACTTTTCTCCTGAAATTGTGCTTGCTGTGTTATTTAACTCGTCTGGGGTTTCTTGGCATGGGTTAAAGGGACAATAAAGATAAAAGAATACCTGTTCGCAAATAAATAGCAGGGCTGTGAGGAGGTGGTGGCCGGGCCCCTGCCCACCCCCACCCACCCCCACCCGCCCCCACCTCCCAGGGCACTCTTGGTGTTGGTTTTTATGGCGCAGCCGTCCAATGGCTCTCCGTGAACGAGACCACCCTCGCCGTGCAAGCTTGATGCAATTAATACAGTCTGTCTGGAAAGGGGCCTTATTTCGGGAAGTTTTATGTTAATGATATGGTCTGTGCTTTGTACGCTCCGTACCGGGACGGCCAGTGGGCCGGAGCTGTTCTCCAGACTGGGTTTGATTAGCACCAAGGACCCTGGGACGCCAAAGGGCGACGCGGACCCAGAGGCCGCGCTGGCCAGGCCCCCGCCAACACCACCCTCAGCGGGGCGGGGGGCGGCGGGGGGCCTCCCTGGAGACAGTGGCGGGTGGGGTGAGTATGGGGGGCCACCAAGGGAGATGGCGGGGGGCATCTGCATCTCCCCCCCACAATGCTTCTTCCAGAATCCCGCGGGGCTCGCTGGACCTCCCTGTGCAGGCAGGGTGGGCTCTGGTAGGGGGGTTCTCGGCAATGCCGGGTCCTCTGTCCGCTGTGCCCCTGGACGTCCAGCGCTGAGCAGCTGAGGACTGCAGGGCAGCCTGCCGGTGTGTCTGGGGTGTCTGCTTGCTTTTCAGGGGGGTGTTGCTGGACATCCCTTGGGAGGACGTCCTGGAGATGTCCGGTCGGCTGCCAGGCCCCCGGGAGGGAGGGAACGGACGGCCCGGATTGGTGGAGGCGATGGAGGGTGTGGACCTTGCTTGGGGTCTCCAGAGGTGTCTCCCACCCCTCGCCACCCCCAGCCAGACACTCCCGTAGCCAGGGCCGGGAGGGGCAGGGGAAGGAGGGGCCGGGGGCGGGGACCGGGCACCTACCGGCATGACGGTGCTGTGCGAGCGGGTCCTTCTCTCCCGGCCCACCCGAAGGCCCCTCACACCCGCCCGAGATGCGCCGGTTTCTGCTGTCAGGACGGCCGTTTGTGAGCGCAGTTTCTTTTTCTTTCCTTCCTTTTTCTTTCTTTCTTTTGCCTTTTTTTTTTAATAGCTGTCTTAAAAAGGAGTTTGGCTGTTTAGCACAGCTGGTGCTCGTTACATTATGCACTGGCAATAAAATAGCATGTGTAATTAATTTTTAATGCGGCCCTGGCTGTAGTGCTTTCAAGCAGTTGGCGGATGCAGGAGCCCGCGCTGGCCGCGGCCACAGCAGAGCCGTCTGGGCAGATCGGCCGGGACCCGGGTGACCGTGGCCACCTGGGTGGGGATGGGGTGGGGTGGGGGGTCTCCGGGAGAGTGGCAGAACCCAGAGTGGGGGTTCACCTGGCCAGAGTGACCTGAGAAGGGCTTGAGATCAGCGGGACTGTCTCT